TCCTCCTGGCCCAGAGAAGGGCCCCACTCTTGCTCCCTCACCCCACCCTGTGCCTCCTGCTTCCTCCTCTTCTGCCCCAGCACCCCCAATGAGGTATCCTTACTCATCCTCTAGTAGCAGCACTGGAGTAGCCTCCTCTTCCAGTTCTGCCTCTGCCTCCCAGTACCCTGCTTCCCAGGCATTGCCCAGCTATCCCCACTCCTTCCCTCCCCCCACCAGCCTCTCAGTCTCCAACCAGCCTCCCAAGTATACACAGCCTTCTCTCCCATCCCAGGCTGTGTGGAGCCAGGGCCCCCCTCCCCCTCCTCCCTATGGCCGCCTCTTAGCCAACAGCAGTGCCCACCCAGGCTCCTTCCCCCCTACTGGAGGCCAGTCCAGTGCCCACCCACCAGCCCCAGCACACCACCATCACCACCAGCAGCAGCAGCCGCAGCCACAGCCACAGCCACAGCAGCACGGGAACTCCGGGCCAACTCCACAGGGAGCATATCCCCATACCCTGGAGAGCAGCAGCTCCCACCATGCACACCCTTATGCCATGTCTCCCTCCCTGGGATCTCTGAGGCCCTACCCACCAGGGCCAGCACACCTGCCCCCACCTCACAGCCAGGTGTCCTACAGCCAAGCAGGCCCCAATGGCCCCCCAGCCTCTTCCTCTTCTCAAGGGTCTTACCCATGTTCACACCCCTCTCCCTCCCAGGGCCCCCAAGGGGCACCCTACCCCTTCCCGCCAGGGCCTGCAGTCACCACCTCCTCAGCTACAGTCTCCACCGTCATTGCCACAGTGGCTTCCTCGCCAGCAGGCTACAAAACAGCCTCCCCATCTGGGCCCCCACCGTATGGAAAGAGAGCCCCTTCCCCAGGGACCTGCAAAACAGTCACCCCACCTGGTTACAAGCCTGGATCACCGCCCTCCTTTAGAACGGGGACCCCACCCGGTTTCCGAGGCACCTCTCCGCCCACCGGCCCAGGGACCTTCAAGCCGGGCTCACCCACTGTGGGGCCCGGGCCAGTGCCACCTGCGGGACCTTCGGGTCTGTCGTCCCTGCCCCAGCCGCCTGCGGCTCCTGCCTCGGGGCCGCCCCTGAGCGCCACACAGATCAAACAGGAGCCAGCTGAGGAGTATGAGACCCCCGAGAGCCCAGTGCCCGCGGCCCGCAGCCCCTCGCCCCCTCCCAAGGTGGTGGACGTGCCCAGTCACGCCAGTCAATCAGCCAGGTGAGGGGCGGGGGCACCGCAGGAGGCCTGCGTTCCGGGGTGCTCTCTGAAGTGCCGCAGAGCCCAGCCTCGCGCACACGTCCTGGGTGGAGTAGGGGCAGGTCAGCCTGGAGCTGAGCGCGCACCGCCTCTGCGCCCGGCAGGTTCAACAAACACCTAGACCGCGGCTTTAACTCGTGCGCGCGCAGCGACCTGTACTTCGTGCCGCTGGAAGGCTCCAAGCTGGCCAAGAAGCGGGCCGACCTGGTGGAGAAGGTGCGGCGGGAGGCTGAGCAGCGTGCGCGCGAAGAGAAGGAGCGCGAGCGCGAGCGGGAACGCGAGAAAGAGCGCGAGCGCGAGAAGGAGCGCGAGCTGGAACGCAGCGTGGTAAGTGCGTCCGCGCAGGCGCCCCCCACCTAATCCGCCGCGGCGGGAGGTCCCGACGGGCGTCGTTGCGCCACCTTTCTCAAAGGAGGAACCACTGCAGCCCAGGAGATGGATTGCATCCTTTTCTGCAAAACCAAAGATTGCAGCGGGAGGAATCGTTGCATTCGTGGGTTGGGGGAGCTCAGGTTGAACTACCTGTGGGTCGTAGGGAGAGCCAGTGCTGAGGGAGGCAGGTAGGGAAGTTTCCATTAAGCTGAGTTCCCATAAGGTGCATTTTTGCATTCAGCTGCTGAGAAACTAGCCACTTTCCAGACCTGACCTTTTGGCTCTGCTTCTCTCTGTCTCACAGAAGTTGGCTCAGGAGGGCCGTGCTCCAGTGGAGTGCCCATCTCTCGGCCCAGTGCCCCATCGCCCTCCATTTGAGCCGGGCAGTGCTGTGGCTACAGTTCCCCCCTACTTGGGTCCTGACACTCCAGCCCTGCGCACTCTGAGTGAATACGCTCGGCCCCATGTCATGTCTCCTGGCAATCGCAACCATCCGTTCTACGTTCCCCTGGGAGCAGTGGATCCAGGACTCCTGGGTTATAACGTCCCAGCCCTGTACAGCAGTGACCCAGCAGCCCGGGAGAGGGAGCGGGAAGCCCGTGAACGAGACCTCCGTGACCGCCTCAAGCCTGGCTTCGAGGTGAAGCCCAGTGAGCTTGAACCCCTACATGGGGTCCCTGGGCCAGGCTTGGATCCCTTCCCTCGACATGGGGGCCTGGCCCTGCAGCCTGGCCCACCTGGCCTGCACCCTTTCCCCTTTCACCCAAGCCTGGGGCCCCTGGAGAGAGAACGTCTAGCGCTGGCAGCTGGGCCTGCTCTGCGGCCTGACATGTCCTACGCGGAGCGCCTGGCAGCTGAGAGGCAACATGCAGAGAGGGTGGCTGCTCTGGGCAATGATCCGCTGGCTAGGCTGCAGATGCTCAATGTGACTCCCCATCACCACCAGCACTCCCACATTCACTCTCACCTGCACCTCCACCAGCAGGATGCCATCCATGCAGGTGAGCCTCCTGCTTCCTGGCCTGGGCCCCTGGGGCAGCCTTGCTCCCCGTCAGGTGTTTGGGCTTTTCTATTCCTCCAGCGGAGACTTTCAAGCCTGAGATTACTGCCCTGATCTTTGCTTCCCTGTCACCTCGCAGCCTGTCTCATGGCCCAGCCTTGCCGCAGAGACTAATTTCCATATCCCAGTCCTCTCTAGGATCTGGCACGCTGCCTGTGACAGAGGCCTGAGCTAGAATCCTTTGTAGGGGTCCCTCATTTCTGTCCTCACAGCCCTTCACCTACCAATTTCTTGCTCTGGATTCAGCTCTCATCATTTCTTGCCATCTCCTCCCCTCCAGGTGGAAGCCTTTCATGTTCCTTCCATCTCTAGATCCATGACCTTCCAGAAAAAGTGATGTAGCTCTGGTTGTGGGTATAATAGGTGATAATGAGCTTTACTTACTATCCTTTCACCATACTTATTGTCCAGAACATTGCCAATCTAGCCTTACAGTCAGTGTTCATTGCAGGCTCCCTTGTGCGCTCTGTCTGCTAACCTCTCTTGTCCTGTCTTGTCCCCTAAAATTTCTGTTTTCCATCTCTAAGCAGTTCAGTCTTCTCCTTTTCCTCAGACCCTTCTGACAACTGCAGTCTGTCTTCTGCCATCCATACGTCCCTGCTTCGGTAGGGTCTTATCCCATCCATCCCCCAGGCCCCAGGCCCCTGGTTCTCTTGCCTCCCTGTTTTACTCTGGCTCTCCCTTTGTTGGACTGTCCATCTCTCTTCCCAGCCTTGGAACCCTTCACCAAATGTATGCTCTTCCCCAAACCTACATTCTGGTGACACCTCCTTCTCTGTCCTCCAGCATCTGCCTCAGTGCACCCTCTCATTGACCCCCTGGCCTCAGGGTCTCACCTTACCCGGATCCCCTATCCAGCTGGGACCCTCCCCAACCCACTTCTTCCTCACCCTCTGCACGAAAACGAAGTTCTTCGTCACCAGCTCTTTGGTAAGGATGGTAGTTGGGGTTGGGAAAGGTGTGAGAAGAGAAGGGCACAAAGAAATAATTTGGGTGGTGGCCTTGGCCTAGTTGGGCTTGGGAAGGCATGAGGAAGTGCCCGGAGGAGCTGGGAAGGGGAGTAGGAGAACAGGTCCTGCCCAAGAGAGGCATATTAGGTTTTAATGCCAGGATGAGTTTGAATCCTAACTCCGCCACTGGCCAGTTGCGGGAAGGGGTGCTACCTAGCTTTTTCAGTCTCAGTTTCCTCTGTATATAAATTGACTGGCCATTCCCGGCCCAGAGTAAGTACTCAGTACCCCATTAGCCATGAGCCCTCTGCCTGTCCTGTCCACAGCTGCTCCTTACCGGGACCTGCCAGCCTCTCTCTCTGCCCCCATGTCAGCAGCTCACCAGCTGCAGGCCATGCACGCGCAGTCGGCTGAGCTGCAGCGCTTGGCTCTCGAGCAGCAGCAGTGGCTGCACGCCCACCACCCGCTGCACAGTGTGCCGCTCCCCGCGCAGGAGGACTACTACAGGTACCCTGGCGCCCCGAGGCCAGGAGTGAGGGTGTGAGTTCAGCTGCCCCGGACGCTGTGCGTGCACTAGGCTCCTGGGGAGGGAACCTCTCCTTTACCATCCTCCCCACTGAGGGGCCAGGTCAGGGTCGACCTGTCTCTCATCTCTGCTCTGCCTCCTCTCCCCCAGTCACCTGAAGAAGGAAAGCGACAAGCCGCTGTAGAACCTGCAATCAAGAGAGCACCATGGCCCCTGCACCTGGATTTTGAAGGCCTGCCGCCCAGCCTGCCAGCCACACCCCAGGAGGGGTGCTGCTCAGTTGCAGGGTCTTGGCGGCTGGGCGGAGGGAGAAAGGGACAGATGGAAGGCCAAGGCTAGCGTGGTGTGCAGAGGTGGGGAGGTGGCGGGATGGGGGCAGAAAGCGCACAGTTATCTTGGACCAGGTCCCTCTTCCTTGTCCCCTGGCTTTCTTCCTTCCCCCGTGCCCAGTCCCAGTGGCCACCGCCCCTCCTCCAACCCGTTGGTGTGATTATTTCATCTGTTAGATGTGGCTGTTTTGTGTAGCATCGTGCCGCCCCTGCCCCTTCCCAGTCCTTGTGTGCGCACTCCCTTTGCGATGTATGCCCCTGCCTCTCCCCAACATTAATAATTTATATATATAAATATCTATATGACGCTCTTTAAAAAACATCCCAACCAAAACCAACCAAACAAAAACATCCTCACGACTCCCCAGGAAGATGGCTGTGACTGTTTTCTTGCGGGCTGAGGAGGCGGGGATGGGATGGGATGGGAGCGGGGGACTCTTGAGGAAGGAAGGGACGGACCTTGGGAAGAAACTGCGTGTAGGGACCCTGGAGAATTGGAGAAGGGAACTGGAGAGCTCGGGGCCCCGGGGCCCTCGCTCCGCTGGTGCTAGTCCCCCGCCTTCTTTCCAGGCTGGGAAATCAGGATGCTGGAGGCCTAGACAGGCACGCCTCTAACTGGTCAGGTCTAGGAAACGACTCGGACTTTGGAGGCATTCCGGCCCCTGTTCCCCTTGCCAGGAGCCGCCAATCCTGTCATTTCCATGGAATACTTTGAGAAACGGTTGAGACGAGGAAGTGCAGAGACATGGTTTCAATCGGTTAAAGCGATTAGAGCTGGAGTTCTAACTAGTCTACAGTTTGAGGAGAGTGGGTGACAATTTGAAACGCCTAGAAGTGAAAAGAGTGCATTACGCTGCAGCGCACGCCCCTACGCAAGGCCATTTTAGTAAAATGCTAGAACAACTTTAGCTCCAGCTGTTATTGCTGTGAATCTCGGTCGGTTCTTAAAAACTAAAAGGGGTGTGACTAGCCTCTCGGCCAATCAGCATTGATCTCATTTGCATAGGACCGAGACACGTTCAGAAACTGTACAAATGAATGATATAAATAATTCCTTACAATACTGTTCTACTCTTGGAAAGTTAGAGTGTACCTCATTGTTTACTCATTAATAGGGATTAGAAAACTCCGGTCTGAGCTCACCCTCACCAATAGTGGCGTCAGTGGATCCCATGTTCCCTCCAGCCAATAATCGGTAGTGTTACAGCTCTTTTAGAATTTGTCTAGTAGGTTTTCCAGTATTTTCTGGAGAACCCCCCACAAGGCTAGTATGTAACAGTAGAAGTGTTTCGGTATCGTTGACGTGGCACCCGTGGGTTTGTGTAGCAGGAAGAGCGGGACTTCACGCGGTAGTTTCTGCTCCGTGGAATGAGAATGCGGCTTTGGCTATGGCGTGAAGCTTCCGGCTCCGGCTGATGCTGCTTCCCTTCCCCTCCCGGAGTCCGGAGTGTCGCCGGAGACAGCCCGTTCCTCCTGAGCATTTCCTGGGTTCTGCTGCACGTGCAGCTTTGTTGTCCTATGGCGTCCGCCTCTGCCCAACCTGCGGCCCTAAGCGCCGAGCAGGCCAAGGGTGAGAAGCATCCTGAGTCAGGGGGTGGGCTGCTTGCCGCGGGCGGGTTCAGGTGGAGCACGGAGCCAGAGGTGTGGTAGTGTCGCCGCGAAACGGGCGCGAGGTATCAATCCTCCTCTTCCAAGAGGGGTCCATACCCGCTAGGGCGAGGGATTCAGCGCCGAGTTTATCTGGGCTTCCGTCCACTAATTCCCTGCCCTCTTCCCTGCGCTCTCTGCTGGGCCCACCCCATGCTCCAACGCCTGCCCCGGGACGCCTCCCTGGGATACATCTGCCTTACAGTGGTCCTGGCCGAGGTGATTCAGGCGTTCGCCGCCCCGGAGAACGCGGTGCGCATGGACGAGGCCCGGGACAACGCATGCAACGACATGGGCAAGATGCTGCAATTCGTGCTTCCCGTGGCCACGCAGATTCAGCAGGAGGTTATCAAAGCCTATGGCTTCAGCTGCGACGGGGAAGGTGGGTCGGGCGGTGTCTAGGGTGGAGTGAATCTAGGAGAGGGCGCTGGATCCGTCGGGTCCCTCAGCCGTCGTCCCCCTGCTCACCACACGGCGGCAGCCACAGTCTAACAAAACAGTATTGGCACTCAGAGCTCAGGGTCTTCTACTTTGAACTTGTAACCAGCGGACGTACCAAATGCATTTTGTAGTTACCATTCATTGTACTATTTTCCCATTTTAAGTGCCCGAGGTCACAGCACAGCTGGACCTGAAGCTCATTCTCCTGGCTTTTAGTGAGATGTCTGCATGACTGCTTGCATCTGCAGCCCCTCCAAGGTGTTCCAGCTAATCTGTGAGAGTTGGGAGTTTATTCATCTCATTCCTAGATGAGATCATGATGCCCCCCAAGGTGTTTACTGATTCAGCCTAGCTGACCCATGGCCCTCCTGTGTTCTTGTTATAGACTTGGGATCCTGCTTCAGGTTCTTGTGACTAACATGGTTCACCTGATAGTGAGAAGCTTTGGAATATTTTCATTCACTGCATGCGATTCAGTTGTGCCCAGTGTACCCTGGGAAATGGTTGATCCAAACCACACAGGGCAGAGGCCTGCTTGTGTGTTGTTTTGCAGACAGCTATTTGGCCAGAGGGGGAGCATCTAGTGAGGCCCTTAACCTACCCTTCTGTGTCTCAGGCACACCTGTCCCCCATGGTGTGGGTTAACGCTCCACTCCCCCTTGCAGGTGTCCTTAAGTTTGCCCGATTGGTCAAGTCTTATGAAGCCCAGGATCCCGAGATTGCTAGCCTGTCGGGCAAGCTGAAGGCACTGTTCCTGCCGCCCACGACGCTGCCACCCCACGGGCCTGCTTCAGGTGGCAGTGTGGCCGCCTCCTGAGGGTTGGCTCTGCCACTGTGACACTGCCCAGGGAGGGAGGCCCTCGGTGTTCTAGAGGATAATAAATGAGCCTGTGACACAGTCTTGGCATCAGTGTTTTGTGACCCTGACGACCTCTACCTCCTGCCATTCCAAGCTGCTCCGCGTCTCTGTCCAGATCCTCTCTGTGCTCCTGCTTAGCCAGCCCTGCTCCAGGGCAGGAGGAGGATGGGCTGGCTCCACAGCCCCCTGGGTGGATGGGCCTGCGCAGGCAGCTCCTCAGCACCTCCTCTGAGGAGCGGGGTTTCCTGAGGCCCCTTGGCCTCTGTGCCCAGAGAGGTTCCCCCATTGGTTGGTGTTCCCTTGGCCAGGGTTACTTCCTGGTCTTTGCCCCCACCCGCCCTCCCAGTGCTCTGTCAGCTGGAGCTCCAGGTGGCTCCTCCCCTCCCGAGGGAAAGAGGCCCTGGACAGGCAGGCAGGTCCTGGACTACGGAGTGCAGCTGGAGCTTGAAGCAGGCTGCTGTGAGCGGTCTGAGGCCAGCCCCTCCCCACCTGTCCCTTTTCCGGGGACCATTAGTCCAGGGGCTTTTGTCTCTGTGGTGCCATTGGCTTGGAGGGCCTCACTGAGGAGGAAGTGGCTGCCTTCTTTGGAGCGTTCTTCCTCACCTGGTTTGGACCACTGCACAGCTGCGTCCTGGCTCCGCCCTGCCCCTTGTGGCCCTCTGCCTGTGACTTCCCCACCCCTCTGGGGAGATGCTGTCCAGTGGGTAAGTCCCCTGCTCCACCTGTTAGTTTGGGAAGGAGGGGTGGGGTTCACGCTCACTCCTGACAGGTGTGTGAACTCACGGTGGTCTGCCACTCGCTCTGCTTCCTGTCTCCCAAGATGCAAGGAACTCCAGACCAGGTCATGTCCCTCTGCCTGCACCCCTCTTCTCTAGCACTTTACCCCCAATGTGTATTTATTCTTACCATTGCATTTCTCCCTCCACCCTCTGGTCCCTGTTTCTGCCCTCTGCTTAGGATCTGCCCACTGGATAGCACACATCAGCTGAAATAGCATGTCTGAAGGCTAACCTGGGAAAGCTCCTGCAACCCTCACCTTCCTAACATAGGCCTTGCAGTTTCCCTTTACTTCCCCTCCCCTGCATCACTCATTCAACAGATAGCTGTTGAGTGTCTTATATGCCAGGTACTTTTTAATTTTTAAGGTGCTGGCAATACTGTAGTGAACAAGATAGACAGGGTCCCTGCTCTCATGCAACTTCATGCCGGTGAGGCCACAGACTACTCAGTGGATCCAGCAAGTAGATTTTAGATTCTTAGAAGTGTTAAGCAGAAACTGAAATGGCTTCATGTGCCAGTGAGGGCATGGAGTGCTGATGGCATCACTAGTTGGAGGGAACAGTGAAAGCTTTCCTGAGGCAGGACGCCTGAGCTGACACCAGGGTGATGAAGAGTCCAGAGCCCCTGGGCAGAGGGATGGAGAGTGCAAAGGCTCTGCCGAGGGAATAGATTGCAAGTTCAGTGTGCTTGAGACAGAGTATAGGGTGTTGGTGAATCTGTGGGCCTACCGCCTAAGCCCTACAGGTTCCTGCTTCTCATGCGCACACCTGCAAGTTCTTATTGAGTCTTGATCCTTGATCCCTTCTGCCCTCCCGCTGTGGTCATTTTCCTCCCAGTGCAGAATCCTTCCTTGGTGCTTCTTGGCCTACTCTCTGCAATGGGTCTCAGCCTCTCAGAGCCACTTTGCTCCAGCTTCACGGCTCTGCTCACCTCAGCACTGCTCGAGTGCACCCTGTGCCTGGCACCTCAGTGCCTTTGCAGGTACTTCCCTTGGGCTCCCTTTGTGGGCTGTGCCCGTGCCCCCAACCCCAAGCCTTCTCCAGCAGTGTGGTGGATGTTGTAGAAAGGACAGTAGGCTGTGGCTCAGACAGCCTTGATTTGTCCAGCTTCCCACACACAAGCTTGTGACCTTGGGCAAATTGCATAACTTCTCTGAACCTTGGTTTTTGTTTCAAAATTGGGCTGACATGACCTACTAAATAGGGTTGGCTTGTGGATTAATAATGCATTGTAAAAGCTGTTGGCACCCAAACCCTACTACATATCAGCTTTTCATACCAGTGTTTGGGAAATATTGTTAAGCCCATTTATTAGGTGGAGATACTGAGGCTCAGGGAAGTTCAGTAACTTTCTAGAGGTTATTTCATCTTGTCTTCTCTTCTAGACTACCTGTCTTTCTGCATTGTCATTGATCTCATCTCTACCTTTATCTCCCTGCTTCCCAAGTGAACAACTTGCACTTCTGAATTTTTAGGCACTTGTTTTTGTAGCCCTCTGCTTCCTTGAGCCTGTTTTCCTCCATTTAAAAAATGGGGAAAATACTTCCTACCTCAGGGATGTCTGAGGCCCAAACAAGGTTGTGTCTTTGCAAATATTCTACAAACTGAGCGTTTATGCCAGAGTAAGGGAAGTGGCTAGCATTTGTTTTCCTGCCAGGGGACAGCAGAGACCACACATCTTAGTGTCATCTGTCTGCTGGCTTGACACCCTTCAGAGCAATTCCTTCTTCCATGGAGTTTCTGGATGCTTAGGTAGTGTCTTCCCACCAAGTGGGTTTGAACCCTGGAAGGAGAGTGGCCTGTGGCCAGGGTACAGCCAGTGTTCAGTGCTGAGCACAGGTCTGCAGCATCATGTGTGATCAAGATTATCTGTCCCTGAGTGGGTGTCTGTGTACAGATGGACATGGATGATGAGGTGCATATAGCTGTGTGTGCATATGTACTCATCTGTACATGATAAGGTGCATATGTGTAGGACCTGAAGCTGGGCTGGTGACTGTATATATGCCTGGGCATGGAGGAACTTGCTTATTGGACACCTACTCTGTGAGAGGCATTGTGTTAAGGTTTGAACATACAGAGGTGGGCCAGGCCAGCAGTGGACCCCTGAGGTAGAGTCAACTTTAGACATTGTCTGCCCCTTGCTGTGTGTGTGTGTGTGGGGGGGGGGTTCATGGTCTTTCAGTGTGGTTGTCCAAGACTGAAGGGGTGGTCAGTGTTAGGCCCTGCAATAGACAGACCAAGTAAGTTCCCCAGGGCGCCAGAAAGAGGGGGAAAAAGAAGCCCTTCTTTGGGGGAAAAATTGATGTTTGATGTTTCAAAAATGGTAAAGTAGTCATAGGGAAAATAGACTTCCGCTGAGTTTTAACACTTTGTGATTTATTTTTCCCTATTTTTGACTGAGATACAGCAAACATAGCTTGCCTGAGTATTGAGCATACGGCTTGATGAACATCCCATTTGTACACACCCCCTGATCAAGGTGTAGAGCATTCCCAGGACCTGCCCATGCTACAACATTCAGAAAGGCGTGAGAGGGAAGCAAATGTCCCCACGGCCCTCTCGTCCAGCCTCCCAGCCTCCCAGCCTAGGGGAAGCCACCAATATGAATTTCTGGTATATATATGTATCCTTTGTTGGGTTCTCTTACTCCTGTTTTGGTTTGGTGGTGTTTGTGTTTGTACTTGGAATTACACACATAATTAGCATCATAGGCTTGTAGTGTCCAGGACCTCTCAAGGTCCACCTCGGCCCCAAGCTCCAGTCCCCAGAAGACAGGCCCCAGTCATCCGACCTCTGTTCTTTGAAGCCCAGAGGACTACCACATAGTAGCTAAAGTCACTGACTTTGGAACCCGACCATCTGGGTCTGCATCCCAGTACTGCCACTTGCTGCCTGGTGACCTTTGTCAAGTTCCCTTCATGCCCTGAGCCTCAGGTTCCTTTTCTGTAATATTGTGAGGCATAAATCATAGAAGGCACATAAAGGATGTGATAGCACAGTGCCTGGCACACAGTAAGACTCCATTAAATGATAGTTGTCACTGTCACGATTAACACTGGGGAAGGCTGTGTGACAGCAGCTGGTGAGGAGGAAGAGATGGCATGTGACTGTGGGTTCCATACATGAGACATGATCTTCACCTGGAGAGTTCAAGGCACACTCGTGTCCTTATTTCGTGTGTTCTCATGTTTGCGGAGTGCCATGCTCCTGAAGCCTTTGATGGCAGTCGTGTGGGAAGTGGGCCCCATCCCCACCCCCACGGCCACCCTGCTCTGCTTCTGTTCACTCTGCTCTAAAAACGAGAAGTACAAGTGAGTTCCCCCAAGGGGTCGGCCGCGCCCCTTCCTGTCCCCGCCCTGCTGGCTGCCCCAGGCCAGTGGAGTGGCAGCCCCAGAACCAGGACTGCCAGTGGTGAGGCGGCCTGGGCGCTGAGCTCTGCGTTTGAGGCTCAGCCCCCGCCCGCCCAGCCACCCGAGACTCACCAGCACCACCTTGTTCCCTGCACCCCCTTCCTCTTGGGCAGCCCCCAGGATGGTGAGGTAAGGCCTGGGACCCAAGGTAGGCAGCAGGCAACGGTGCCCAGGGTCCTGTGGGACCTTCCCTCACTGCCACCCCTGCCACTGCACCTCCCAGGTGGTTTCACCGAGACCTCAGCGGGCTGGACGCAGAGACCCTGCTCAAGGGCCGTGGTGTCCACGGGAGCTTCCTGGCTCGGCCCAGTCGCAAGAACCAGGGTGATTTCTCCCTCTCTGTCAGGTAGGTGAGCTCCAGCCAGGCCCAGTATCTTGGCAGCTCATTCCTGCTTCCTTTGGGCAGTGCTAACTCCCAGCCCCCAGCCCAGAATGGCCCCAGTCCGTCTGTGTCCAGCCCACTGTGTGGCCCTCATGCAAGACTGTGGCCCATCCCCCACTCTGTCCCTGCCTCTCCCCTTACCCCAGTGGCCTCACCACCTGCTGCCCTGCAGGGTGGGGGATCAGGTGACCCACATTCGGATCCAGAACTCTGGGGACTTCTATGACCTGTATGGAGGGGAGAAGTTCGCAACGCTCACGGAGCTGGTGGAGTACTACACACAGCAGCAGGGCGTCCTGCAGGACCGCGATGGCACCGTCATCCACCTCAAGTACCCTCTCAACTGTTCTGACCCCACCAGTGAGAGGTGAGGCGCTTCTCATCTGACCTACCCTATGCAGGGGCAGGCTGGTTCCCCCAACCTGTCCGCGCCTTCCCCACCGCTGCTCCTTCTTGTGGTTCTGTG